ACTTCATCCCAGTCATCATTGCCCAATGCACACAGGAAAGTGCCTGTTCTTGGAAACGGTCATTCTGTGATTCTGTTCTTTACCCATCTACAATGGTTCCTCCAAGACAGAAAAATCCATCCCCCGGCCCCCCCAGAACAGACTCGCCCCAGCAGGAGTCCATTAGGATAAGATGGACACAGGAGAAGCAACGCCAGCTCAGAAATGCTTTTGCAGCAGATCCGAACGTTTGGCATACACGGGACACACCATCCTTCCACGCACTCAGTTGCTCACCGCGCACAGGTGAGTACCGCGATCGAGGGGTGAACGCCGGGCAGTGAAGAGAGCGCGGGGTGAGGAGTGAAGTGCGCGGGCGTGAAGAGAAGGGTGCAGGGTGTGAGCAGAGTCACAGGGAAACCCAACAGGAGCGCCAGAGATGACGACAAAACTCCCATAGTAAGCTCTGGGTCTGGGCACAAGGAGAGCGAACGAGTGCTGGGGCAGCGACACAAGCGACAGTGCGGAGGGAGCCAGAGGCAAACCAGACTTACCTTTCCATGCGGATCTGGCATACCGTACCTGTGACCGAACCAGCTGGATTTTCTAGGGTGGGCTGCTAGTTAGTTGCATTGACCAACAGCAGCAAGAGACCAAGAGGAGTTAAGTTTCCACTGAAAGCTTGAGGCCCCTTTTTCAAGATGGTCTCACAATAATTGCCTCAAGCAATTTAACAACTGTCTGGGAAGACAACGTTCTTTGCCTTGAAAGGAAAAAGTTAACTTTGATGGAATTGGGATAGAACTCCAAATTAGGGCAGACTTACACAAGCTCAAACTATGCAGTTCCAAGATTTTCTTCAGGGCAGCTTGCGTATTCCCAAGTCGTGCATCTGTTACCTGATACTCTGTATTATTAACACATTATAACCCCATATTGGTACCAGCACACAATGTAAGTTTGATGACAGCAATTATTTATCGGTTGTATAAATACTCTGAAAAAAGTAAGCCAAGTGTGAGAGAAAGCAAATGTGTCATAGTCCTTAGAAAAGCAACTTGAATTCCATGTAAAATACGAATGCCATTTAAATAACCCCACAGTTACTAAATTAGTAATACAGGAATGGAATTCCCAAGTACAAAGTGAAGAAAAGTTTTAGTTTAAGTTTGTTTATTGTGATAACATTGTTCTGAACATCAATAAACATTGCACTGAAGTGTGGGTTACTGTACCCACGGTAGTCCAGTCTTAACAAAAACCACTGTATTGGTATGGTCACAGATTTGACAATTTTAAACACACTACCTTATTAGTGACTGGGTTGCTTAACAATCAAGTATTCCACATCTTCAACATAAAAATGTAACAAACGATTGAAGAGAGTTTTCCCACCCTCAAAATAAACCAACATTTTAACTTTCATCTGGAAGTAATTAACACTAAAAAAATTCCAAAACAATTCCATTCTCTTCTGCAGATTTTAACTTCAGAAACTAAAAATTCCTCAGGCAAAAGTGACACTTCAAAGGCATCTCAAATTCACGGTCTATTTTGATGTTTCATTATGAATTTGCATTACAGTCATTTAAACAACTCTCATTCATGTGACAGCATTTTCTGTAAGACTTGTATGAAATATTAACATGAAATCTCATCTCTTTTGTCTTTACCGTAAGCGGATACAGAGTTTGCTTCAGGAGTTCTGTAATGGAGTTGACACAAGTGTTAAAACTTTTCCAGTTGGAAAAAAGAAAGTTTTAGGAGGAGTATGCCGATGACAGGAAACTAAGGATACGTGAGCCAAGACTGCACATGCAACTGTGTTCTGTTAGGGATGAGCGCCCAACCTTCTGAAGTACAAACATGCTTGGTACAGTAAAAAAAGAAAAAAGAACAAAATCCAGAAGTGCGTACCACTTCAATTACTGATCTCTAAATCGTGATAGAAATGGGTAATGTCCAAGTCAGTAACGAGTCTGGAATTGCAATGTTCCTTGTTTACTCCCAGATGGGTATCATTGACTCAGCCTTTGCCATGGTTCCAACGCCAAGGATCTGCATCTTCAACAACACAGTCTCAACAGGGGTGTGCGTGCGCCTACAGCCACACACACTTAGAAGTTCCTCTTTCACAGAAAGAATGATTTAGCTTGCGCTAATTTTAAGTAAGTATAGCGCAACTTGTTCTCCAACATTAGTTTCAGGCCACTTCTCTCGACTAAGGTAACAAAGGACAGGCTAATGCATAATTCTTATTTACCCCACTTCATATTAATATTGCAGCGTACGCCTACAGGTTGGTAGTCACGAGAGGTCTTTTCTCGAGTCAGTAAAGTGCCCAGCGGTCCAACTGACATAGGTACGTAACGACAGGGACAGTGCCCCCAGGTTCTGTCCCTAAACAGGGTTAACAAAAAATCCAGAAAGCTTCAAATACCAGCCAGATTTAGAAAAACAAAATCAAACAAAACCCACCATACTCATATCAGAAATACTCAAGCACACTTTTACATTTTATCAAAAAACAAATAACAAAACTGTAGCTGTTAGAGCAAAAGGAGCAACATTTTTAACTAAGCAACTTTTTGGACATCCCTATAATGCAAAATAAGAGGTTAGCAGAACCAGGAGCTCTCTGCAACCACACAACCCCTCTATTCATACCAGCTTAAGCTATATGTGTTTAGAGATACACCTCATACTATTTTTCCACACTGCTCATTTACTCAGGTCCCCACCTTAAAATCCACAGCTTATCTTTATGACAATCTGAAAAGATGACTGGAACTGAAGAGAAAAAAATTAATAAAGTAAAAAAAAAAAAAAATTTAACCAAGAAAGATCCAGACAAACTTTGGTAACAATCTGTCCCATTTGGAAACCCATCCCAGTTTCATGAAGCGCTTTTATTTTTAGAAAGCCTGTGTAATACCAGGGCCACCAAGAATAAGTTAAGCGTGGTGAAGAAAATGTTGACATCCACAAAGGACTGTTTTAGGACAGGCAGCTTCACTCCCTTTATGTAAAATAGAATCTTTAGATAGAATATTTCATCTTGTAATTAAAATATTTTATTATGTTGGATTCTTATTTACTTATTTTAAAGTATTTAAGTGACTTAAAAGCTCAAATCCCATTGGTATTCAAAGCACTTGGTGATCACAAACGTTTCATTTTCTAATGAAATCTATGGAATAAAAGGTAAGAAAAGGGAAAAAAAATACATGGAACGATGTTTGTAAGCTTCTGACAGTTTAAAAAAAAAGTAGTAAGAGCAAAATATCCTTTGAGTTGAATCCTGTGAAATCCACTTAGACACTGAGTAGACTGGCGACAGGACCAAGAATTCGCTGAAGCAGCCACAGAAAGCACTGTTCTCGCTGTACAAGAACAAGGCTGCCTTTCAATCCACTTACGTGCATGGCACACCGTCACAGACAGGTAGGTTTCCTTTCCCACTCTCCTACTTCTGCTTTGAAAGAGAAGTTCCATGTTGATTTTGCTTACCCCCATGCTTTATTTAATGTTTTATAAACTCAGGAATACACTAGTTTTATAGGGGGAGGGGGGAGAAATTTCCTTTATGTAGTGATGTAAAAATTACCCCCCAAGCAGTTCACCAATTGTCCAGCATTAGCTGGTGTTTCGTCAGAACTGTGGGTAAAGACTACTCAGCCTGATAAAGAAAAATACTCCTGCGTGGGGGCTAAAATCCTCTCAATGTACCCTTTTGCAGGCAGTGAAACAAAGAGAGCCCCTTCCCTACATTCAGCCCAAGCACCGCAGCAGGCAGCCAGGCAAAGCTCACTCTGGGCGCTTCCCTGCTCCGGCTGGGAGCTCTCTGCGGGACAGAGCTCGCCTCCGAGCCTGCTCCAAATTCTGGAGGTTGTCCCTGGGAGGATCTGTGATGCACAGCCCCAGGAACTTGCTTAAGGAGTGACAGAAAAGACCGTGCACCCAGGAAGCCCAGGAGTGATGTTTAAATGCTGTTTAAATGACTGTAGTCCTTAACCCTCTGGGCTGGTGGAATGATCGATTCTCACCACAGATTTGTCCGAAGGAGGTTAAATGCACTAACTCCACTTCTAAAGCTGAACTACCTTTGCCTTCACGTATTTTTGGAGAGAGAAATACTAGCTGCTTTTACAGCTGATAAACACTAGACTTGGAATGCAGTTTGTTCACAGGCTCTGATCTGAACCTGAGGAATGACCAGCATGATGTTTGTGAATAACCCAAAACTTTAAAAAAAGAAAAAAAGAAAAAAAGAAAAAGGTTTTATTCTGCTCTGCAGCATTTAACCATTCTCATACCTGGAATCTCACTATTGAACTGATTTCCTTCCAGCTACTGAAAACCTGCAATACAGAATTCTGGAAAGACCTGCAGTAGACAATTAAAAAATTAAATACATAATTTTTTTAGTATTACAATTCCCTGAATATAATCTGTACATACGTTTTACTGGCCTACACAGCATACACACACACATATGCATCATCTCTGTGTTGAAAAAGGAAACAAAAATGCCAGCTCCCCAACTCTTACAGAAATGTTCAAGATTTTTCCTGATGAAAATTTAACATGACATAGTGCAGCCTGAAAACAAAAGCCATACAAGTATCTGAAGACAACTTTCATTTTAACAAGCTCATGAAATAGCTGAAACATTGTATGTAAAAGAAGTAATCAGCAGAGTTAGTTTGAGCGTGAATTGTACAAGCAGAGTCTTGCACATGTGACAAAAGGCGTACTTACATTTAAAGAGGAATTTCATGTCTTCAGAGTCTGTCAGGCTAGTAACCTCTACACATTTTCTGTATTTCAGCTGAGAAAGAGCACACTGCTCTTAGGTTCTGGCTCCTTTCAAAAATGGCCTAATGGCCCATCTGAACATTAGACCACATTTTTTATTATTAATAGGTCTGACATTCTATTTGGCAGTTTCCATACACTTTTTGGCTTCGTTTTAGAAAATATACTATTAAGACTAATACAAAAAAATTCGATGTTTACAATAAGGTCTGTATTGATGAAAATGCAAAGTCATAGCTTACCTCAGCATTTAGTTGCCCTGAAGCACTTGGGTACCACGACCATCAACAACAGGCCAATCTCAAGTGCCTTCGAACAGGTATATAAAGACAGGCAATAAACAAACAAACAAAAAACCAAAGCCCATACAAAAAAAAAAAGAGACAGTAGCTTTGCATTTTCTTTGTTTTAAACCAACAGAGTTAAAGTGATTTCTTTAGTAAGACTTATGGTACCAGTATATAAATTAGCATCTTCGTTAAGAAAGTTCTTCACATTTAAACTGAAGTTGAGTAGCTGACTATGAAATTCCATCTCTCGGTGAGAAGTATTTTTCAGGCCAGGTCATCCATGTCAAGGTCAGGAAGAGGCTCTCTCCAATAGCAAAAGGAGCTGAATTCTGGGCAGGGAAATGCAGAACTCTGTTCTTTATTAAGCAATGGGAACACATGTTCCACAAGCTCACTTAGTCTGTAATACCTATATTAAAAAAGAAGAAAGACCATTATTTAACAGTCTAGTCATACTTCAACTGTAGCCAAAAAGGAGCTTTAGAAGTCTAGACCAGAAAACTAATAGTCAAATAAGGGACCAGTACTGCAGAAACAATTTGCAATTTTATTTCGCCAGTCTACTTTTCTTTTTGAAAAGTTTCAGTGAAGTATCCAAAGCTGTCAGTCTCTGGCAAATAAGATTTTCACATGTCGTATGTAGTAAGAGATCAAATCATCATGGTCACAAATGCAATTACTTTGTAATCTCATTCCTAAATGCTTTCTTTAGATGAAATAACAAAAATGATCTTACGAAGATTTGTTTCCCTTAGTCCGTTCTTGGATCAGTTCACCCTTTGGATTCACAGTAAATATTCTGCAGTCTGGAACTCCCACTTGCATGTAGGCATATACATCCTGCAAAAAGCATGAACAAAAGCACACGCTTCAACATCTCCTTATTGAATGTGACATAAACAATTTCTTGAAGGAATGGGAAAAGCTGATCCAAAAAGGGCACAGTAAAACTGCCCCTTTAAAAAAAGCCCCCTAAACAACAGCCAAAAACCCCAACATACACACCATAACAAAACATTCCCCCAGCCCCTGAACGCTTAACTCCTGTTCCCAAGCCTGAGACCACAAACACACACAAAATCTATACCACACAATACCATGCCTTGTGACAATATTCCTCTTACAATACCCTCTCTCTCTAGCTCAATTACAACAGCATTGAGCTGCAGCAAAAATAGAGGAACCATACGAAAGGAAAAAAGATTCAAGACCAAGGAGCACTGACTAAACACGCTTAGGTTATAAACCTGTCAAAAATGCTGAAAAAGAATACGGAAAGGTGGCACATACTTAATAAAATCCTGAGAATACTAACACATCTTTGTAATCTTTCTCATATAACCAATTCTAGCAGCTTTTATTTAAGGTATCTGCATGTGGGTTTTCCTGACCAAACCCATAAAAGCACCACTGTCCTATTTCCTTATTCAAATTTAAATAGACACAAAAAGAAAAGCCTATTTCTTTTGCTTCCCAAGTACTTCATGCATCTCAACCCTTCAATTAGAAAGGGGCAGACTTACATTGGGCCTGTTTCCAAAAGCAGCATAGAAAGGTTGTTTACTGGGAGCAAACAAATTCTTGATATCATTCAAACATTCGATTTTGAACTTTTCAGGCTTCTTTTCTATTACTTCCCTAAAATAAAATTTCAACAGTCAAATTCTAAATCATCATTTGATACAGGGTATCCTCCTTCCCCCATTTATCTGATATTTATATTCTCATTGCTTCCTGTTGCTAGCGTCAGCAGTTAAATAGACATTGGCCAGTAGTTTGCCAAGAACGATACAAAAGAAAATAAAATGATAAAACATTTGCTGTTTTCCAACACCCGTAGTAAAAAAAACAGGTGAATAACCTGCACATTGGCTAAGTAAATAGGATGAAATTCTCAGCTGTGAGTGCAGTCTGTGAACTGCTTTTATTGTAGGTGACCATCTGAATCAGAAGACCTCATCAAGGACACATAAGCTTGTTACAACTCCCGTCTCTGACAAAAGAGTGCGGAAGGCCTGCTGTTAGTGACCTTAATGGAAGTTGCTGTCATTGCTAGCCATGAATCAGTTGTTTTCACTAAAAACCCAGCAAAACCAAAAAGACTGTTCCACTATTAGCTCTTCCCATCAAGAACAGGTAGACTATGGCTGGTTCAGAAGATCAACTGAGTTGAACCATAGCTAAACTCCATACTGATTTTTAAGTAGTAGTGCATGGAGTACTCCCAATATCACAAGATCATTTAGTATGACAGTCTATACTCCCCAGCCTATATTCCCCAGTTTTTTCTTCTTTTCCCTCTATCTTGTGTAGTAGCACTGCACTACCCCTTGCTATACTTGAAAAGACAAAATTGTACTGATACAAACAGAACTTCATAGTAACCAGTCATGGACTAGAGGAATGGTGAAAAGGGAAAATGAGCTGCTCTATGACTGATACTTTGTTTTGCAGGCACTTCTAACATGCCCACAGAAACAGAAGTATACTGCAAGTGAAACAGACAAAACAAACAGCTTATATATGATCACTAGAGGGACATCAAGTCTCAGTAGCATATCTAGCATGGAGTGGAACGTTTGGTTGGAGCTGTAATGGTCAGCATGCCAAATCTTTTTAATCTGTTTCTTTCTCTGAGATGGGGAGGGAACGGATGTATGAAATCCCACATGCTTACCTATGAAAAGCAGAAAACAAACTGCTGGGGGACAACATGAGAGGTCCCCTGGGAAGAATTGTTCCTTTGTCATTCACCCAGTGTAGGTATCCTCTGGTCATATCTGCCATCCCAATGGCACGGGCGGAACAGTACAGAAACTTGTAGCCATTTCTAGAAAAGAATTATCAACTTA